GTTTAACGGCAGCTGGCATCCTTGTACATGCAGTGCTGCCATCTTCTGTTTCAGTCCGTTATTACACTCTTAAATCCTGCTACTTATTCCTGCGTCCTTTGCGATCTTACAAAGCTTCAAACGACGCGCCGACTATTAAATCAGTCGTCGACGATTTTGATAGTCGATGTAATCGTGACTAGTCGACTAATCGTGGCAGCTCTACAGCTGATCAGTCTTTTTAATTAAAAGCTATTTAATTCATTCATTCTACAGTTGTCCATGTTGTTGATAATAACAATAATAGCAGTCTGTGTCCCCACACTACAGACTTATTTTCTATCTTAAAGAGGAACTGCAGCTTTTGGCACTTGTGCGTTGACTTCATTTTCCAGCCCTGGAGCTTTCCTCTTGCTTAAGGTGGTGGGCTTTAAGGAAATATAAGAGGAATGACCACCCATACTGTCTCTAATTGTCCTTGTCTGCAATAGAATATAATCAAGGCTTCACTATGAAAAGAAGTTAATATTATCATAAGTGTTTTTAAAATCTCTTTGACTCTTGTGTACTCGTTTACAGCGTGTAATCCCTCCTTATCCTTGTCTCCTCAGGTCGCTTTGCTCGGCCATAGGCACCATGAATATATCGAGCCCATTGTGGGCACACCAGCCATCCCTTCCTTTGCTGATGTCATGTGGGTGTTTGAGGATGAGGGTGACAGCTGTGCTAAAACGAGGTAAAAACAAAAATGACACAGCACAGATAAAATCACCCTCCCTGCAACCCTGAACTCCATAAAAGTAAACATACAAATTCACTCATTAGGCAGTCTTGTTGGATGTGATTAATGTCACTGCATTTACACAGAATCTTACCTTTTTATGTTTGTGAAGATGAAAGGACAGCATTGATCATTCTGTCCAGACAACTGTAAGACACTAAATTAATATACGAATGATGTGGGGTCTCCGTAGGAACCACTTACCTCCAGTAAGGCGAAGTACTGTAAATCAAGATGTGATGAGATGTCCAGAACCAGCATTCATACGAGCTCAGAGAGGAGGGCCACCTGTAAGACAGACGCCTGATCCAGAAGCTCTGAAGAAGATCACAGCGCTGGAGAGTGAGCTGCTGAAACTGCGAGCTCAGATTGCTTTGATAGTTACTGCTGCTCCAGCCTCAGGTACACGATGTCTTTGTCTTTGTCCCATTTTTCAAGATGCTTTCATCTTCTCAGAACACCAACCGAGTGTTTCTTTCTTTTTTTCTTGTTTTATCTTTCATCGTGTTTTAGGTCTGGTTGAATCCCCAAATGAGCCTGCCTCACCTGGGATTTCCCTTTCCCATCCACTTCCAGCGCTCACCTCCACACCTCGCCATGTGGCTCCTCCTCCTCCACCACCACCACCCCCTCCTCCTCCCTGCCCTAGCATTTTCATTGGGTCAAAGGAAAGGAAGGATGAGAAAGATCTCGATAAGGGTCACCAGAGGACCAAGAGGTCTGAAAATAAAGGGATGCCCTCCATGCTGGATGTTCTAAAGGACTTAAATCATGTTAAACTGCGCTCAGTGAAGAGGTAAGCATGCAGAGTTAGAGAAAACTAATCATTAAAAAATGTGACACTTTATATCTGAAGCTGCAGAATACTTTCTTCATTGTAGTAGTTCAGCACCCTGGTGTTTCCTGCTTGTTTTCCTGTAATTTGAAGTAAGTCTTTCCCTCCAACCTAACAAAGCATATTCATTCTGCTTTGGCAGATCTCCAGGGGGCACACCAATTAACAGGGGGCGCAGTAAAGGAGGTACGGCATTGCTTAATGACCCGGCAGCTCTTATTGCTGAAGCACTGAAGAAAAAGTTCACCCATCTCCGCCACAACACTTCCTCTGACAAAGAGAACTCCCTTGAGCTCTCACCTTTCGGCAGTCCTGAGTCACCTAAGGTTTGTTTTCCATAGATGCGCTGAGATCTTTGAGAAGTTAAAAAATGTTATCCATCCCCTATGATGATGTGCTTGAAGGAGAGTTCCTAACCTGACACCTCTTCTGTTGCAGGTTCCTCACCCCCCTCGGCGAAGTCGGGGACACCGCCACCTGTTACATCATTAAAGAGTGACATCAGCATCAACAG